ATGGCCAGAAGGAGGAGGTGCCAGCCTGCAAGAAATACCCTTCCATACCATCTGAACTGAGAACAGAAAAAATAAAATGCAGGCCTATAATGACTAGCATCTTCAATTTTTTTCCCCTCCTCTATGGTTTTTAATACCTGGCCTGATGAAGAAGCCGGTGGAGCTTCGAAAGCTTGCAGACAGATATATTGTGCATTTTGGTTTGCCCAATAAAGGTTTCCCTATTTGGTGGATTTCGGACGTTATTGGATTTGCTATATGGCCAACACAGCTACCCCTGCGTTTGTAAGAAATCAGCCACACCGCCGGGATCTCAAGGACTTCCTCGACAACAGTTCGATTTTCATTAGCCCAGCGTTGTGTTTCTTTTGCTTGCTGGGCTGCCATTAAATATTTATATTTAATTTTCCGAGGCGAGAGGGGGCACGGCGTCTGCGGACGGAAGCTCTCCCCAGTCAGAACTGTTGTTAAACATCCTTCTTCCCCTTGTCCCCTGGCGTTTTCCCCCGGAGGTTTCCATTGTGCCATGGGGTAGCCCCATCTGAATTGGCCTTGCAGCTCACCCTTTTGCCTCCTGCTCACCCAGGTTCCTCCGGCTCATCATTTCTGGATATTAAATGCAGTTATCGGGGGAGAGCTTGGCGAATTAAAGCCGGAGTTTGCCCTGGCCCCCGCTTTCTCCCCCTTTGCCCTTTCAACTCCTTCTTCCCAGAGAGGAAGGGATGACCAGGCCGCTTAATTCATTCACATTTGTGTAGCGTTTTGAAATACTACAAGAGGGCAAAGTGTTATTATTGTTTCTGAACCCAACCTCTTGCGAGCGGCATCGGTAGGGGAGTTCGCTCAGGTGTGCTGGCAGGTGGCCTTCTGCCCAAATGTGCATTTTATTGATAAAAAAATAAAATCATTTGGCAGTAATTAAAGTCTCGAGAGGGAGATGGAGGGTTAAGCCTACAGGCAATTGGATAACCTGTAATGGGGAAGTTGGCTCTTGCTAGATTTCTGTCCTGGCTTCCTAACATCTTTGGCACTGGGGCTTCCTTCTATAGGCCCAGAGGAAAAGACAGGAGAAGCTTCTTCCAACCTTACATGTACCTCTATGGCAAGGGTGGCACATCCCTGGAGGCCAGAGGGCTGTTCTTGTGGTTGTGGTTGCTGTTGTGTGCTTTCGAATCATTTACAACTTATGGAAAAGACAAGAGAAGCCCCTTCCAGTCTTTAATGCACCTACACATGCATGATCTATGGAAGGGTGGGCACATCCCTATTGCTCAGCGGGCTGTTGTTGTAGTTGTTGTTGTGTGCCTTCAAGTCGTTTCCGACATATGATGACCCTAAGGCAAGCCTATCCTGGAGTTTTCGTGGAAAGACTTGTTCAGAGGTGGTTTGCCATGAAATACTTCCTCACATAAGTCAGAACTCAAGACACAATGTTAATTTATGCTCCATACACACAGGTGTTTCCCAAATGTTGGTCCTCCAGATGTTTGGGACCTCAGCTCCCAGAAGCCCTGGCCTAGCCAGTTGGGTCAAAAATCAGGAATCCTGGGAAGTCCAAAACATCTGGAGGACCAACATTTGGGAAACACTGACATATACCTTAGAGTCATTGTTGTTGTTGTTGTTGTTGTTGTGGTATGCCTTTAAGTCATTTCTGACTTATGGTGAACCTATTTTGGGTGTTTCCTTGGCAAAATTTGTTCAACCAGGAATTTCTGGGATCTGAAGTCCAATACATCTGGAGAACCAAAGTTTGGGAAACACTGGTTTAGGGGCTGCTGTGATGGTACTACTACATACAGGCGTTGGTTGTGCAATGGAAGCCAATGGCATGACCGATGCACAAAGGCTGATGCGCAAAAGGCAGCGATGCATATTGGGGACACTTCCTGATGGGCATCCAGACACCGTCTAGGAAGTATTGGAGCACTGATGCTTCGTGACCAAGAATCTGACCCAGGAAGGTTGTGGCCCATGAACATTAACATTCCTGAAGGTAACCCTTGTCTCTTGACTGTGTTCCCTCTCCGTCTTCCCAGTAAGAACAAGGCCTCCAAAATATGCTAGCATTAACCAAGTGCAATACCTCCCTCCTCCCACCCCATTATCAACACCTCTGCGGAGAAGACGCATGGTTTCGGTTCTAGTCCTGGAGCCATGGATCAATTAAAGTTGTCAACGCATTGGTACCCCCCTTTTCAAAGATCCCACTGAGAATTTCGGTCCAGCCGTGCGCCTGGATCTGCCTCCGGAAACGCGTGCATTTTTTAAAATGCTTAATTGCATAATTGCTGTTGAATTTCTAAGTAGCTTTCTCCAAAAGGCGTTCTTGGGCATTTGCTTTAAGCGCTCAGGAAAACACAGCCCCAGCAGAAGCCTTCACTTAAATGCACACAGCCAGGGAGGGTCCAAGCTCTCAAGGAACTCTGAAAAGAAGTTCACACATGAACACAAGAATCTGGAAAGGATCTGGAAGGGATCTGTGATACCTGCCTCCAATGACCTCACTGGCACTTTCTAATATGTCCTCCTGAACCTCTTTATCTCCCTTGTTGCAACAGCTCCACATTTCTACGCAGGAAGTTTGCCATGGCTTTCCTCTGAAGTTGAGAGAGTGTGACCTGCCCAAGGTCACCCAGTGGGTTTCAATGGCCAAGCAGGGATTTGAACCCCTGATATCCTGAAGCCTTGTGTGAGCCAGTGTTGTGTAGTGGTTCGAGTGTTGGACTTTGACTCTGGAGACCAGGGTTCGATTCCAGGCTGGTCCATGAAACCCACTGGGTGACCTTGGGCAAGTCACATGCTCTCAGCCTCAGGAGAAAGCAATGGAAAACCTCCTCTGAACAAATTTTGCTAAGAAAAATCCATGATAGGTTCATCCTAGGGTAGCCATAAGTCAGAAACCACTTGAAGACACAACAACAACAACAAATCTTGAAGCCTTAGTCCAACACCCAAAGCACTACACCACACTGACTCTCTTTTGGGGATGCTTCCACACCTTGGCTCACCCCTCTAAAGTTTAGACTAAAAGCTGGAACGGATTCATCACCTCACTCTCCCCTCATACGGAAGCCACTAGCTTGCTATGGGCTGGATGTCCGAGTCCTTGGCTGCAACCACACTGCAGAAATAATCCAGTTTGACACTACTTTAACTGCCATGGCTCAATGCTATGGAATTCTGGGCACTGTACTTTTGTGAGACATTTAGACTTCTCTACAGTTCTCACAGCATTGAGCCGTGACGGTTAAAGCGGTGTCAAACTGGATTATTTCTACAGTGCGGATGCAGCCCCAGTGAAACAACTATGACATATCTGCAATCCAAGCAATCCCTCTTTCTTTCTTTCTCTCTCACACACAAAAGCACACACAGAAGGCCTAGGGCACCTACTACCCAGATTCCATTTCCTCCGTCCTGATATTTATTATAGCAGAGCCCTGGAGCAAAATTGTTTTACAACTCTGAGCATTAAATATAATTTGTCTGCATTCCAGTCGGCCCAAGCCATTATGAATTTTTTATCTGACGCCGGCTCTTCAAATTATCGGCCATCAAGCCAAAGTTTACTGTTGTTGCTAAAATATCAATTTGGCAAGGAGGACTTGCGATCCCCTTCCCATCCTGCTGCGTAATTTACAAATGCACAGTTTATGATTAGAAGCAGGCAGGCGACTAAATAGGAGACATCTTTCGTCAATGGAAAGACCTGGAAGGCTGTGCTGCCCCCTTACGGCAAAGGCTTAACCCTACTTCCGACGACCAAAATGTGACCAGCTGGGATGAATTTAATGGGATACCACTTATGACTAGTTTTTTTGGAGGGTGCATATAGAAATAAGATGCATTGTAGGGGCTTTTGCTTGGTTTGAAATAATCTCGTATTCTGCTTTCGGAGCAAAAATCAGCTAGACTATGCAAACAAGACTGGACTAAGTGGAGCAAGCTGGATTTAGCAAGACCCCGCGAAAGCACATTTGCCTCCAATCCTCTCCTTGCGTCCTACTTATCAAAAATAATTTGGGTCCAAAACACACTGCAGAAATCATCCAGTTTGAAACCGCATTAACTGCCCTGGCTTTAAGTTAGGGAATCCAGGGAATTTTAGTTGGTTGTGGCCCCACAGCTCTCTGACAGAGAAGGCTGAATGTCTCCTAAAACTACAAAAATTCAAAAATTCTCTGCTAGGGCAGTCGAAGTGGGCGATTTCTGCATTGTTTTGGACCACAGAAACAATGATGATTTTAAAATATTATATTAAAATATTTTAAAATAAGATAGTGTATTAAGCACAGCAGGTAAGAGCAGAAATGATAAAGAATACAGCATTGTGTTGATTTCCAAATATAAATGCCTTACCCTCCCATTTTCTCCCAAAGCCAGCATGGTGTCATGGTTTGGGTGCTGGACTAAAACTCTAAGAGACCAGGGTTCGAATCCCTGCTCAGCCATGGAAACCCATTGGGTGACCTTGGGCAAGTCACACTCTCTCAGCCTCAGAGGAAGACAAAGGTAAACCTCTTCTGAATAAATCTTGCAAGATATTGGATGAGGACACCAGGAGACCAAGGTTCAAATCCCTGTTCAGCCATAAAAAACAATTAGGTGACATTGGGCAAGTAATCCTTTAGAGAGAGAGAGAGAGAGAGAGAGACTCAGGTTTGTGTAGTGGTTTGAGCATTGGATTACAACTCTAGAGAGCAAGGTTCAGTTCCCTGGTCCGCTATGGAAACTCACTAGGTCACACACTCTCAGCCCCCTGAGTGTCCCACAAAATGCTAGACTGAAATATAGGGAGGAAGATTCCTACCTCAAGAATGTGGGATGGCACATGATGGAGCTTGGGGGTGTGTGGAATCTGGTTTGGACACTAAACCAGTCTTGAAAATGCTGGTTTTGGACTACAACTCCCAGAATCCCCTAGCCAGAGAGATTCTGGAATGTGTAGTAAAAAGAAAAATCAACTTTTCCAAGCTAAGAAAGGTAAATCAAAGGAGGAAAGCACATGGAAAGTTTTCTGTCCTGTGCTCTGTTCCCTGGCTCCCAGTTAATATTCCTAAGCTTTTTGAGATGCAGTTGCAATCCTATTGACTGCTTTCAAAACAGTGTGTCATTCTGCCTCTAATACTTTTGGGGGTTCCTCCCCCATTTTAATTATTTTACAAAATGCTTGAATACATACATGCATGAAAATGCATGACTTTTGTTGCAAATATTACCATTTTAAAATTGAAATCCTTAAGACCAAGCGGGGAAGAGCATCATGGCGATAATGCTAATGCATTATAATAATCAATGGCAGATAATTAAATGCAGACCACCTGCAGATTAAGAATCATTCTCATGGGCAAAGTGAGTCAAGAAGGCTTTATGGATCTGCTGGGATCTGCAATGAAAGGATGACACCTCGTGGTAAAATCCTCAAAGTACAACAGAGATATTCCTCCAAGATTCTTTTATAATCCCTATGCCATCCCACTGGGTGACCTTGGGCAAGTCACACTCTCTCAGCCTCAGGGGAAGGCAAAATCAAAGATCCTCTGAACAAATCTTGCCAAGAAAAGCCCATGATGGGTCTGCCTTAAGTCCCATAAGTCAGAAATGACTTGAAGACACACAACAAAAGCCATCACCAAATGCAACCCAGGGGTTGTTTTTGGTGCTCAACAGATTCACCAGGCTGTCTTTTTTTATTTTCTGGCCAAGAAGAGAGATGATCAATTGCTTCTTCCAAAAGCTGCCAGGAGCGGTAATGCACCTTTAAAAAATAGATTGTACGGATTCCTTGTAATGTTGTTGTTGTGCGTCTTCATGGCATTTCCGACTTATGGTGACCTTTAGGCCATATCTTGGCAGGATTTGTTCAGAGGAGGTTTGCCGTTGCCGTCCCCTGAGGCTGAGAGAGTGTGACTTGCCCAAAGTCACCCAATGGATTTCATGGCCAAGCTGGGAATTGAACCCTGGTCTCCAAAGTTGTAGTCCGACACTCAAACCATTAGCAGCAATTCCTTGCTAACTTGTTGGACTACAACTCCTATCATCCTTGGCACCGGTGATGCTGGCTGGGGCTGCTAGAAGTTGCCATCCCAAAACATCTGGAAGGCTGCCATTTTCTTACCTCTAGTTGAAAGTCTTCAAAGTTAGCTCCTTGTCTCTGCAGTTGCATAATAAATGGTCTCTCTTTGTCCAGCTGCTGTCCAGGAAAAAACTCTTGTCTCCAAATTTGTGTGCCTGGAGAAGGAGAGAGAAAAAAGAGAAGAAAAGCTATTTTCCAAATAATGAATCTTAAGAAGGCCATTAAAGCTGTAGACCTCCTCTTCATTATTTCTCTTTAAGGTTATTTATTAAGCCAGAATTGCTCCGCTCATATTTCTCCTTTATTTGCAATCTTCCCCTGGGCTAAAGTGTTATATATTTATCTTTCAGGTTAGCATTCTTTTTATGGCGTTCCTCGAGTTATATACTGCCTTTAATTTTATTAGTCAGTACTATATATTAAATTATGCTAAACAAAAAATAAAATAAAATAAAATAAAATAAAATTGCAGGCATGGAAAAGGGAGATCTCCTCCCCTTCCAGCCAAATGGGATTCTCAGGCTATGATTTCCTAATATCTGAGGATCATGGAGAGCTATTTGATGCAATGGGACTATGCTTACCTTTTTGGAGCTGTGGAGACAGCCAGGGTCCAATCCACACTGCAGAAATAATCTAGTTTGAGACCGCTTCAACTGCCTTGGCTCAATGGTAGGGAATCCTGGGAATCGTAGTTGATTGTCGCACCAGAGCTCTCTGACAGAGAAGGCTAAATGTCTCACAAAACTAAAATTCCCCAAATTAACCGAATTATTTCTGCAATGCAGATGCAGCCCAGCTCTCAGGTATATTTAAGGTATTTGAAATTGCAAAACAAAAGCTATTTAAAAACAGCAATGCATTTATAGTTCATATCAGGCTAGAGTCTGGAGGCCAGGGTTCGAAACCCACAGGCAAGTCACACTCTCTCAGCCCCAGAGGATGGCAATGGCAAATCCCCTCTGAAGAAATGTGCCAAGAAAACCCCATGACAGGTTCCCCTTAGGATCACCATAAATTGGAAATAACCTGAAGGCACAGAAAAACAAGCAACTGTATGTTAGGCTAGACCTATAAAGCCCTCTACAGCTTAGGACCAGGCTATCTGAAAGTTTGTATTTCCCTGTCGGAGCCTGCTTGAATTTTAACATTTTTAGGGGAGGGCTTTCTCATGGTCCCACTATTGTGACAGGTCCATCTGATGAAGAAAAGAAAATAGGGCTTCTTGGTGGTTGCTCCCAGGTTTTAGAATTCTCTCCCACAAAATGACAAGCTGGTCTCCTCTCTACTTCCCTTTTGTTGGTAAGGTTAGATAAGGAAAAGACCTTTTTATTTGGCAAGATTGGTTCAGAAGAGATTCGTCATTGCCTTCCCCTGAGGCTGAGAGAGTGTGATTTGCCCAAGGTAACCCATTGGCTTTCAATGGCCAAGCTGGGAATCAAACCTGGGTCTCCAGAGTCATAGTCCTATTGAGGATGGAGCAAGCCTGTTTTCTACTATTCCAGAGAATAGGACCCAGAGCAATGGATTCAAACTACAGGAAAAGAAATTCCTGATGGTAAGAGCTGTTCAACAGTGGAATACTCTCCCTTGGAGAAAGTGATGGAGTCTCCTTCTTTGGAGGTTTGCAAACAGAGACTGGATGTCACGGATGCTTTAATTGTGAGTTCCTGCACATCAGAGGGTTGGACTGGATGACCTTTGGGGGTCTCTTCCAACTCCGTGAGCCTATGATTTAATGAACTGGCAACCCTCGCTCTTCTTTCTCACGTCCAATCTGGCAACCCTGAACTTGTGCATCCATCTGGTGGAGACCTTGTCTGAGTCCATCCTATATTAGTCCCCCCTAAAAAGCCGAGCCGGGGATGAGAAAAGGTGGAGCGCTGCACAGTTATTTGGCTTATGTTGTTACCGAGGCTAAGACCGGGGATCACGGTCTGTGCGGTTTGATAGAGGAGGAGCCCATCTACCGATAACAAAGGCAACGGTTGTGCTCAGGATTTGCGACTCTTATGGAAAGACTGTAAATCCAAGCAAGGGAAGCAGCCCATCTGGCAAAGGCAGGCCTCTTAATGGAAAATGAGGATTAGAAATTAGCTAAGGTCTTAAGTGGTATTTTTAGACACACACACTCCGTCTCTCTCTCTCATTCTCTGCCTTGGACCGACTGACAGGTTGGGCTCCTGAGATCCAGAGAAAAGCTCCAGGCCTGGCTTCGTTCAGGAAAGGATCACACCTCGAGGTCAGGGATTACAGGCCAGCTAGCTTAGCGGCCAAGGCATGGGAAGCCTTAGAGATGATTTGTGCGGATTTAGGAAAAAGGGGAGGAAGGAGGAAGGAGGGCTCGAAAAGCAGAATTTAATTAGTGGCAGCCAGCTTCGATTTCGGAGAGGAGAAGTTGACCTGGCACAAAACAACCAGGAATTCAGATGAAGGAATCATAGAATCATACAGCTGATGATGGGCCATCCAGCCCAACCCCATTCTGCCATGCAGGAACTCACAATCAAAGCACCCCCAGGGACAGATGGCCATCCAGCCTCTGCTTAAAGACCTCCAAAGAAGGAGACTCCATCATCTCCAAGGCTGTACACTTCACCATCAAACAGCTCTTTCTGTCAGGAAGTTCCTCCTAATGTCGAGGTGGAATCTCTTTTTCCTGGAGCTTGCATCCATTGCTCCTTGTCTTTTTTCTCTGGAGCAGCAGAAAACAAGCTTGCTCCATCCTCAAGCTTCACAGAGCAAGGGAACAAGATGAACTTGAACTCTTAACACACAAAGGCAAATATGATTTAATGTTGAGGGGGAATCTCTTTTCCTCTAGTTTGAATCCATAGTTCCGGATCCTATTCTCTGGAGCAGCAGAAAACAAGCTTGCTCCATCCTCAATAGGACACTCCTTCAAATACTTAAAGAGGGTTATCATATCCCCTCTTAACCTTCTCTTCTCCAGGCTAAAGATACCCAGCTCCCTAAATCTCTCTTCATAGGGCTTCATGGTTTCCAGACCTTTCACCAAACTAATGTTTAGAGGGAATCTCTTGAAATCTTCTGGTTCTGGTTCTGGTTCTGGTTCTAGTTCTGCCAGAGAACTCAGGAATGTTACTTTTTTTGGAACCACAATTCTCACCGTTGCTCAGTGGCCATGCATAAACCATTCAGGGATTTTTGCTCCTCTTTCTTCCAAGAAGCTTCCTTTTCCTTTGGCCCTTGCTGTTTAAGAACTGTTTTGCTACTGATTCCCACGTGTGATTTTTTTTTAAAAATTGTATACTTTTGTTTTATTGGGAACAACCTGGACAAGACTTTAGTGTCAAGAATTTTTTTTCCAGTCACTAAATAGTGTGGCGTAGTGGTCTGAGGGTTGGAATATGA